TACATTACATTACATTACATTACATTACATTACATTACATTACATTACATTACATACAGTGACATACATACATAGATACATACATACATACATACATACATACATACATACATACATACATACATACAGGCATACAGGCAGGCAGGCAGGAAGGCATGCAGGCAGGCAGGCAAACATGTATGTATGTCTGTCAGTCTTTACATACTTAGATGTAAATATATATATATATACATATATACATACATACATAGCATATCATGTTCACACACCTTATAGCGGTCGCGAACCTAGACCCAACTTCATGCTAGCATGCGGTTTGGGACATTGCAGTGTCAGCCCAGTAGCTGCATGTGATCTGCCACAAAGAGCGTGCCGTTGGGCGCCAGGAGGAGATCCTAGACAAAGCTCATTCGGGTCTCTGGTTTAGGCTTGCTTCTAGCTTTAGATTGTTCGACCCTCCATCTGTAGTATTCCTTCTCATGATTTCCATATATCTACGCGTTGAGACTCCAGTAACTGTTAGCCCCGAAAGGAGCCTAGTTTAAGAATCTAAAACCCCTGAGACAAAGCTTATAGACAACTTCATGGAAAGCACGTATTTAAATACCAAGACTGGCTTAGTGCATGCACCATGAAATCGGTCCTTGGGATCCTGGAGCATGCCGATGCCTCGGCGCCAATTTTGTCTTAAGCGTTTCGGGGGGCAGGTGGTTAAGGTTCAGGGAACAGGTTTTGGTTTGCGGGTGTTAGGTTTGGAACCTGACGTGTGCGGTTTTGGCAGTCGCAGTCTGACCCCGATGAAGGGGTGTTAGCTAGAGGGGGGTTTGTATGACATGATCAAATTTAAAGCCTTCATGATTGGAACTGGGTTTCGGGCTAGAATGTAGTATGCGAGCGATATCGGGGCACTATACGGGAGACTGTTGCAATATATCAGGCTTGGTTTAACGCCGGGTGTTCGAAGTACGGCTATGGCCCTCAGGCTCTACTTGATTTGGTTCAGGGTTTAAACATAAGAGAAATCAGGGCTGTCAGGGTTTTCGCGGTAGGTGTTTCGCTGAAACCTAGGGTTTAGGGTGGTGTAGGAGATTTTGCTGATGAAGCAGTACCGTTTGTTGAGAAGCTGGTAACACAGCTTAGGGCTCAAGGTTTTCGGCTGTTGATATAGTTTATGCAGGTTTTAGATTCACTTTTTCAATACTGGGAGCTGCTTGTCCTCATGACCTATAAGCGAACTACTCCCCAGAAAAGAAAACTGGTGATCTTACGAAAAAGGGACTTACCCGAGCGGTTCAAAGTGCCCAATGATGAAGTCTTGGAGTTCGAGTCGCAACCTCCCGATGCTTCGCCCCGAGGCCCTGGGTACCATGTCATGAAACCGAAGAACACGAACTGTAGCTCCACTTACCGAGCACGTTGCAGATTCTAGCCTCCGACTAGAACCATCGCCTGATCATCACCTGCTATTTCCCGAAAGCCGAAAACCCGTCCTGAAACCTCAGTCTGCCCAAGAGCCTTGTAGCACTCGCACCCGTCTCGGCGAGGCCAACAGGTCCAAAACCAGAAGCGATTCGGAGTGCTCGTCGGAGATGATGGCTGTGCCTTATATATAGTTTGCAGCAGGGCGTTGGGGGGATGATAGCCTGGGGGGTCTGGAATCATAGCAAGCTCTGAGGCCAGTGATAAAATGATAGCAGCCTACTAATTCATCTGCTTATATTGCTTGATCTGAGACCTGCACAGCCTTGATTTTGAAAGCTATACTGTTCAAAAACCTTGTGGATTCTGTTTCCGCTTCAGGGTTCCAGGGTTTGAGCCGTTTACAGGCACAGCTTTACTATCAGCACTCGTTGCTGTTGCTCTGATGTTACTGCTGGCAGCTGCTAGCAAAAGCTGCTCTTTACAGGCACTTGAAAGTAGAATGGAGGTAGGCGGCACACACGGCAAGAAGAACATTAGCACGTCAAGCCTGGCTAGGTACATAGCACGCTGTAGGCCACTTGATGGCTGTGGCCAGTAAATCCAACAGATCATAAAATATTAATCTGCACGGATTACACTTGCACATCACAAGAGCCAGCATCACGGTCAGGAAACAGCAAGGAGAAGGCCTGGGGGGGTGGAATTGGAATATGAAGTGTACTAATTGCGGCTGCTCTGAGTATAACGCCACTTACCACCTTCCCTTTGAAAAAAGCATCCTTCAGGGGCATGGTTTGGGGTTTTCCGGGCACGGGCTTGGAATTTGGGGAAGAGGGTTAAGGGACGAGGGGTCTTCGGTTCAGGAAAGGGTGAGGGAAATATTTGGAATCGGGATTTTCCTAATTTGATTCTGAAAGACGAGGTGGGTTAAAACCCGCGAGCACGCCCCTGACCTGCAAATCCGTCATTGTTGAATCACATCGGAGAATCCGTCTTGAGAGAGCCGCCAGGAATCGAAAATTTGAGCCTCTCTTTATACACCCAAACCCGAACCAAAAACTGAAAAGACCAACCAACCCCGAAGGCTCTAAATGACCTGAAGCACGCTCCCTAATACGACCACTCTCCAGTCTCTACGCACCAAAATTGCCTATTGCCCAACCATTCCGTCGGCTACCTAAGGCCACATTTAATTAGCCCAGAGTATACCCCCGGACTATGAGTAACAACATCCCCTTATGGCTCTGTTTGGCTATACTACATTATACCCCGAATGCTTTTGCACACCTTCTCTGAGTACGTATGCATATGTCGTCCTTTTGATTCGCTCTTTGTCGATAGGTTGCGGCCCGCCTCACCCTGAGAACCCCATTCAGTTCTAATTAAATCAGAGTCCCTAGAGCACAACCCTAAACCCTAGACACTTACATACATAGGGGCCTTCATGAGTAAGGGTATATTCTGCCCAAGTCATAGTAAGGAACTCTACGGAATAAGTATGACGAACTAGTCAGCCTTCCATATTATATACCACCTACATCCCAAAACCCTAAATGCCTAACCCACAACCCAACAGCCCTAAATGCCGAACACACAACCCTACAACCCTGGAGCCGCAAACCCCACCACCCATATCCGGGTCGCTCCCGTCTGCAGACACTGCGACGCCCACCGGCACCGTGGTTACCAAGTCCTGCACTGCTGTGCTAAGCATCAGGTGCGGACTCGTGGTGTATAGGGTTTCTGGCAAATTGGGACGATGCACCGCCGAGTTTTCACAACATGCAAGGTTAATAACGAGGGATGTTACGTTTTATTTCGCACTCTCTCTTTCTCTATCTCTCTCTCTCTCTCTCTCTGTGTCTCTCTCGCTTTTTTCGCTGCCTGTTTCCCTCCCTTCTCTTCTTGGAAGGTGGTTGCGAACGAAGTGATACTTAATATGCGGGGCTTCTGTAATCAGACGAACGAGGCAAACCCAACCTACCGCTCTCATTCCCTTTTCATCGGCCTTGAACTCTTTCAATATCAGCTTCAGTGCCTTAAGTCCGCAGCAGGTGTAGCGAAGTCGCCACGATGCAAACAATTTGAGAGACTCACAGAGAAAAAACTTGAAAGGATGCGGACTCAGGGTGAAGGGATCAGGGTTTCGGCTGAGCTACCAGGGTCTGTGGTTCCCTCCACGTTAAAGTACAGGTGAAGGATCACGGGACTCGATGAATGAATGGCATAATAACAACTGTTTGGGGGTATATTATGTTGTAATAGTCATTTAGGCCCCTATATGCTATTTGGGCCCTGCGGCACGACACAAATGCTTAATTCGAGGCAGGTTCTTAAAGGCTCATGCTTTTAGGGTGTGGGCTTCAGGGTACGCGGCAGCAATTCAGGGGATGAGATTTGAAGCTGTGCAGTTTGGGGTTCAGTGTTTGCTTGAACATGGTCCTTCGTGGTTCAGTATGTCGGCTCGGTGCTGCATTCCAACTCTTCTGAACAGACTACAGTAGGTGAACAAACTTGGTAAGTATACGTTTGAAGTAGGAGCCAGAATGAGGATAAAGAAACTGAGTGATCCTAAAACCGAAAGCCCTGCAACAAACGGCAAAATCATAGCTGGTGAAATCCAAACGCACAACAATCAAAAGCTAAACTCAAGTTTCAAGTTCACTCTGAAACTATGAACCCCAAACCTCAACCCACCCTGAAGCCCAAATCCCGCCCAAATCCTCAATCCACGGAGAGAACAGCGAGTGAGAACCCCCCCATCAGGGTCTCCCGAGGCAGGTTGGCGGATGTCACGTTCGGGTCTATGCTGATGGAGTACGTGGCCTCAAACTTGCTACCTGCTGAGGCCGGCCCAGTCTTGCCGATGCTTAATGTAAGGGCCTCAATCATTAGAATAGGGTTTGGGGCCCATTCTACTATACCTGTAATAAGGAACCCCCAACATAGACCCTAAACCCTAAACCCTAAACCCTAAAAGGATTGGTAATTATTGGAGGCCTCTACAGTAAGGGTCGCTGTTTCAGGGTCACGACTTCGGGACTTCCCCGTGGTCGGAGTCAGGGTCTGGCCGAGCACCTCGCGAATTTTTTTTGGAACCGCGACATCTCAAACTCTGTAGGGTTTAGGGTTTAGGGTTTAGGGTTTAGGGTTCCCAAACTCTGTTGTGGGAGGTCGATGGGCTTAGAGGTTGTAGGGTTTAGCTTCTGGGGCTTATTACGTCAATGGTTTGGGGTTTGGGTCTAACTTCCGGCTACGCATGGTTTCTACATATAGCTCGAGGGAACACAACTCCTACTAAATCCCAAGCCCTAAACCCAAAGCCTAAACCCTCGATGCCTCGACGTATTTATGTTACTGTAAGCCCTAGGCCCTAAGCCTCCTATACTACTAGGCCTAAGGCTCGGGGACTTAGTACACGGACAGCGGAGCTGAGTAGTGAGCCCCCCTGAGGGCCCATACAGGGGCTTGATTAGGCTATACAACGTTTTGAAGGTGCCTATCAGGCTGTGTAGGGCTTTGTGTTATCGGGCTTTATAAGGTTTTTAGGGGTCTTATAAGGGGTGTCTAACAGTCTAACACTTTTGTACAATAGAGATTCAATGCCTTCCCTATAGGCGCCCAACAAGTAGACTAGGAAACCGAGTACTCCGACAATTACTCCCATAACACCAACAAAACTGCAATTCCCATAAGCCTATGCCCAACTACCTGCTGATTTTTCCTGGAGTTCTTAGGTTGAGACTTCTCCAACAAATCCTTTAGAGCCTGGAAACCCTGATCCCCAGTTGGGCTGTTATGGGGAAGGGCTTCACTGTTGGATTACAGGGTGCAGGGTTTAGGGTTGTAGCTGAACGAGCAATAGATTTAGTAAGTCGAACATATCTAGAGTTATCTGGACCCTGATTGGGGCTAGCCTAAGTCCCCGCCACCTGCCACCCTTCGCAGACCTGCCACTACTTGGAGTTCCAGAGTAGCTGGGAGTCTGCACTTGCTTGCAAGCTGGATGTAATCTAGGTAGAGGTCTAAGCATTGCGTAATGGGCGAATGCCTCTCCCCAGACCCAGAACCTCTAAACCTACTGAAACCATAGATCCCACAACACAGAGGCAAACCTGACGATAAATAGGGGTGATGTTCCTAATGAGTACTGAGATCCTACAACTACACCCTCGGGTCCACAGTCTTTTTAGCCCACCCTAAACCCTAAACCCAAACCCCTTGAGATCGCCCTAAACCCTAAACCCTAAACCCTAAACCCTAAGCCCCTCAGTTCTGGCCTGAAGTGCTTATCACCAGGGGCCCCGCAGCGCTGCTGATCTGAGTCGCTTGGGGCGGCTTGGTCCCCCACCTACACCCTAAACCCTGAACCCTAACTGTATTAAACCCCTAAACCCTAAACGCCTAAACCCTAAACCCCGGGGGGCCATAGCTGGTGGAGTAGTTTGAGGGTCAGCATGAACCCTAACTCCCTAGTTTGGGGTATGTGCGTGTATATATACGTGTGACGTATGTACGTATGCATGCATGCATGCATGCATGCATGCATGCATGTATGTATGTATGTATGTATGTATGTACAAGCCTTGTTTTGCTTCTACCGGCAAGAATTCAGAACAGGAATTAGAGATCTCCAACTTTGCGAGGGCCAGGGATGAGGGGCTTCATTTAGGAAACGGCTCCCTCGTTCCATGCGACAGCAGAAAAACCTACAAGAGACAATGCCAGAGTACATAATACAGGCGCCCTGATAATCAGAACAGGGTTTGGGGTCTATTATAGTAAGGAGCCCTCAAAACCCTGTTCCAATTATTGAGGCCCCNNCGACCCCCCCCCCCCCGCCCCAACCACCAAAAACAAAAGGCTGCGTCCCTTCGCCCCAAGTCTGAAGCAGTAACACCAAGTCACTAAGTTATACATCTTAGAAGCTCCCCCAGCCGGCCACCACATGCTCATAGGCCCCGGGTCCCCTATGAGCACGTCCCGAAACCTGAAAGGATGACTTCTAACGGCACTCGAACACCTTCGCGAGTGGTTTAGGGCCTTCTTCATTAGAATAGGCTTTTCGAGGTGCAGTGTCGCAGTGGAAACGTATCCGGAACCCTTATTATTTATTCATGTCCCTGCATTACTCCCTCCAAAGCCAGAACAAATACTATTTCCGTAGTGGGAAACTTTTCGGACAGAGCCCGAAAAAGGGAAGGACAGCGAAGATGGCTACTGGGAAACCAGTGCACCGTGAGCCCCATTCAACCCTCAGTTGTCAAAACGACTCTGCTCCGATTCTCCGAAAACGAAAAACGCTATCTGCAACACCAAAGAGCTACCTTTTCGGGATAATGTAGGGGCCTTCATAATTAGGATAGGGTTTTGGGCCCCATTATACTATAACTATAACAAGGAACCCCCTGATTCCCAGAGTTGTAGCAAAGCCCCACAAATCCAGGGGCCGCAATGCATGGAGTTGCCCTGGGGAGGGCAGCGGATGGGGGCGGATTAAAGAACGAAGATTCTAGAGGGATCGGCTACGTACTCAGATTTCGTTAATTCGACCGCAGAAACCTCAGCCCCCCAGCCCCAAACCTGAAACCCGAGCCCCCGCCCGCCCCGCCCCAAAGCCACGCAAAAAAAAAAAACGCCAAGCTGAAAACTAGTTACCAATACTATCTTGGGGGTTGTTTATTAGAGTTATAGGATAATGGGCCACAACACCCTATTCTAATTGTTAAGGCCCCTACATTATGAACAAACACAAACAACCCTGGGATGCGGTCGGAAAGAATGCTGAGACCCCGGCTTGACCTGGGAAAGGGGGGGAAAGTGAGGGTCTAGGGGTCAAAGATTTCGGAGCTTCAGTGTTCAGGGTTGCGTGCAGGGTTTAGGGGTTCAGGTTTTTCGGGTGCCTCGATCTTTCGATTTTGAGTCGTGTGGCGCCATGAGATACACAATTCCTTGCCATTTGCTCTTGCTGTTGCTCCTGAAAGGCTGGGTCGATTTCACGCAGGTTCTGGCGATAAGTGTGTTTGCCATCAGGGGAGTGTTTAATGAAGGGGGAAAGGGTTACTACCTCCAACATCAGACTCGAACACCTCATCACTTATTCCATACTCGCGTGGGGCTGTGGATTCAGTGTTTAGGCCAGGTCCCCTTCTCAATAACTTCTATATACGTTGCCCCTTTTCTTCCTTTCAATTACTGAGAGGACCCCGACCGAAAGAAGGTTTCATACAGGGGTCCTCCTGAAGAATGCGTGTGCCATTTTTCCGGTTCTTCATGTATCTACAAAGAGACCTCCAGGACTGCAGGGTATCACTGGTGGGCCTAGCATAGGGGCCTCAAGAATTTGAACCGAGCTCTGGGAATCTTTGGGATTATAGAATTGCATATACTTACTATACGTATAGTTCTATGAGTAGGGCTAGGAACACGTAGCGTCTATGTTGAGTCTAGGGAAGCCTTGAGGACGACATGAACCCCAACAGGTTTTCAGCTTCATATACCATATAGGGATTCATAGTATCAGGGTATAGGGCCCCTACTGAAAAGGGTCATTTGGTCCCCAAGGAGCTCCCTTGCATTTCCCACGACACCGTGCCTGTTGAATGACTCAGTCGCCGCACGCGCTGGTTGTTGCGGTCCGCGATGAAGACCTTATCCTGCAATTCGACAGCAGTTCAGTCTACCGTAGAAGCCAGAAAGTTGGAACATCATTGAACGAAAGTATGGAGCATCCCGGCACTAATCATCCCAAATCCAGGCTCCAACCAACGTTCTGGCATTCAAGATAAAGGGTAATTTGTAACAATTGCTTGCCTGAGTTGCCCGGGGGCCAGGAGCCCCCCAAGGACTCCGATGTAATGGGATCTTACAGTCAAGAGGAAGGAGAGCAGATGAGAGGCTCTAGAACCATTGTCAATATAGGGGCCTTAATACTAGAACAAGGCTTTTGCAGTGGACTCTAACACAGTTCTGACCGGGAACCCTAACAACTACTATTGCTACGTATATATCATGATTCTGCCTTCTATACTAGTTGGGCGGTGGAGGTAGAGCCTCACGTTTCGAGGTTGGGCTCGCTTCTAGCTTCCCGCGCTACACCTGCAGTTGAGGAGCTTAGCCGATTGCACATGTGTAGTTCTCTAAAACAGGGTCCCGTTTTCGGTCCCCAAAATAGTACGGCACCCTTATAAAAGGACCCCAAAGGGACCCTAATTCAGAAAACTACCCACATGTTGTTTTTTATGGTGGGAAGGGGCTTAGGACCGCAAAGACTCAAAGACCCAAATCCTTCAGAGTTTGAGGCTTTGAGACCAGTCCAGCTTACGAGTTCTGGGCTTATATAGGGCTTAAGGTTTCAATCTACTGATGTATAGGCTCGTATACTTGCACAGGGTCTTACCAGGAATTTCCAGCAGCTCCCGAAATCAGCGGGGACCAAATCAATCCAACAAGTAAACCCTAAACCGCAAGCCAGAACCTAAACCCTACTCCCTAAACTCCTAAACTCCTAAACTCCTAAACCCCCAACCCCTCACCCCTAAATCCCCAAACACTAAACCCTAAGCCCCCAAACTCTAGACACTAAGGCCCAGGGAGACGAACCGAGGAAGTGGGCCTGCAGAACCGCCACATGCTGCGGCTCGTTCAGCTCTGCCTGCGTTGCAGATTCTAGGGCTTGGCCTTCATTCGGAGCCCAGGGTCTTGCGGCTCATGTTTTCTTCCTACTCTTAGGGGCTGAGTACCCTAGCCCAAAGCAGGTTAACCTTTCTATTTATAGTAGGATTATAAGAGCGACAAAAGGTTAAAGGTTACCTACTCAGCCACTGAGTACTTAATCAGAGTATTATGACCACAGTACGACTACAACTATGATGATGACGATTTCCTGATCAGTACTATTGTCACTATTGTTATTTCTTCGGTCCTGCTACTGCAAACACCAGCACCTCTTATGTCATTCAACAGCTTGTCCTCTTTATGATGATTATAGTACAACAATCGTCATTGCAAAAACTGGTTAAAGAATCAAGATGGCTTACGTCTTACGATTTAGGGTTTGCCGTTCAGGCTTCTGCTTGGAGGGTTTTGCGACTTAGCAAATCGGCTATGCCAGTACCTGTTACTTGGGGTTATCGCCTGATTCTACAGTATTACCATGTAAGCGGAGCACCAAGTCCAGTCCCAGTTCCCCCAAACTAAGCCGTATCCGTGGGCTTGTTGCCTGGGGGATCCTTGGTGTAGGGTTTGCTTGACAAACTAATGAACGGAGGGCCGAGATGTTTTTGTCTTGTACGTAACAGGAAATACACAACTAATTGAGACGCTTATCTTGAACCCCATCAGCCTCAACACCTTAACCCTAATCATCAAACTCTCAATTGTGTAACCCCGAGATGAGGGTTCCTTGAACTTAGCAGTGCCGTACAAAACAGGGTCTTTTGATCGTGAACTTACAGGGTCCTTACTACCTTGTGATAATTCCTCCCAAATCATGCCCCCAAACGTGCAGTATAAACCTTCTAAGCGCTATGAAGCCTTCCCCCTAACGCCTGATAACACGAAGCCCTAATCAGTCCTAATCTTCCCTGAACCCCAAGCCCGCACGACCCAGGCTCCGAAATCCTGCACCGTCTTCACCTAAACCTTGATGTCCAACGCTCCCTAAATGGACGATAAGCTTGATCCTACTCTCCAGATCCAGAAATCAATCCTACTGGGGAGACCCCGAGATACATTGGGTAAATGGCCACTACTGGCGACCATCCATTCGACAGGAAACCCAAAGCCTTGAGCCCGTAGCCCGGAACCGCCGCCTCGACGCCCGGACCACCGTCACCCCAAACGCCACGGACGCCGGCCTTAGCTGGGCTTTCCCAGTTGTTGAGATTCCTGGTCCTTGACGGCGAGAAACGCGGCCGCTTGCTTGTGGGGCCCATGTCGCAGGAGCTTGCGCGAACTAGCCGACTGCTTGCCAAAATGCACGACGCTAGAAAGACAACAGCAACTTGTGAAACACACTTGTGTATTGCTGCTGTGGTGAGTATTGCTAGTCTTGCTGTTGACATGATTGTTATCTTCATTGTATTTGCTACTATGTCTCCTTGCCACTCTCGTTATTGTAGCTGTTGCACCACCATGCAACATGTCAAAACTTGAGACAAACTTACGAAACTCGTCTTAAATACCGGCTCCCATCTGACGCCACGTTCTCAAAGTACTGAGTTCTCGGTTTTTGGTTTTCGGGCTTACGATTCAGGGCTTAAGCACCTTCAGGGCGTCAGGGTTTGGGGTTCGTGGGGGCCGGAAACCTTGACCTAAGGTGGTGGGGCGGATCTACACCAAAACTATACCAGGGAACTTCTATGCAGCTCCGGCACGCCAATCAATCTCTGCTCGGTAGAAGGTAAGACGATAAAGACCAGATTCAACTAAAGGGGAGTATGTTATTGTAGTTCTCGGCATGTGCTCTCGATTATGACATTGGGTTTGCTTAGGGCTTTCGCTTTGGGTTTTAAGGTCAACCCTCAACGCCTAAGCTCCCCTGTACTCCCAAATGCTAAACTTCAGGCTTAAGCTTTGGGAGTCTCGCTCTCCGGTTTCTCGGGGTCCTCAACTTTCCTGGGTCTCACCTCTTACGGGTTCTGACATCACCAAACTACACCGAAACTGCCGTAATGTAGGAATACACCTGGTTCACAGTTACTAGCATTGATACTAGCACCCTTCGCCCTAGCCTGATCTCAGGTGTAGTTAATATTTCATAGGGCTGTCGAGGCGTCAGGGGTCCTTGCTAAGGAGACCACAAGTTCGATAGGGATGTCGGGTTTACCAGTAAGAACCAAAAAAAACACGTTAACACGCATTGGGATAAGAATATCCCATAAAAACCCTGGTAACGAAGCCCGATATCCTTGTAGCTTGCTGGTGCTTCTGTCCTCTTTGGCGTCACTAAGTAGGGTTCAGGGGTGGGGGTGGCCTAGGTTGGCGGTGGGAGGATCCACGAGCCCCGAGCATGGCATTGGTCTAGGGGTTTAGGTTTCGGATTCCTTGAAATCTTCTAGCTACCGGCTAGTATAGCATAAATCTCCACGGTTACGGGCCATAAAAACTCTTTGCAGGGTGTCAGAAGGGTAGATGCTCGGGTTTGGGGCTTCGGATTTAGGATTCTTTCGTAAATATCTAACGAAGAACCCTAAGCCTAAGACATACCAATACTAAAGATTCAGGCCCCAGTATGAAGCTTTGGGGCCTCTGGCTTTTGAGCTTTGTAGATGCTGAGGTTCGTTTATTTCGATCTGGAGCCAAAAGCACAGGCAATAGAACACGGTGTCGGGCGATGTTTTACTATAGTTCTGTAAGGACTGCAAGGGAAACTGATAAAACTGTTTCAGACCTATGAAAATTCTGTGGTAGCACGGCCTAAGAGCGCGGCAACGTTGACTTCTGTCGTGATGCCTGTGTGAGCCGCAGCCGGCGGATCATGGGACTTGGTAAATCGCTTCGTGTACTGTAGGGGCCTGACTAATTAGAAGAGGGTTTGGGGGGCCCATTATACCATACTTTAAGTATGGTACTTACAAAAAGAAACCCCACAATAGTATTGGTAATTGTTTAGGCCCTTAGATTAGGGGCGAGGGCTCCTTTCGGGGTTCTGTAGCGGGTTCCGTAGAACCCTTACACGGTCGAAACGGGTTCGAATTCATAGTTGGAACAAGCTTTCGGAGTCGATCAGAACACAACCATAATCAGGAACCCTGCAAGGAACAGCACTGATAATTGTTCAGGGTTCAACATTGGGGCTATGACTGCATTAATGATATATTTTGAGAAAAAAAGGTACGGCTACGTCTTCTGGGCCTCCATGTATTACTTGTTATTCAAACACCGATTGGAGAACCAAGTCACCCAACCTGGAACTCACGTCCACAGTCCCTTACGCGGTATGTACAACCCCTCACCCTCTGAAGCCCTGCCATGTTGTGACCCTAGCAACTACCAAAGTGCTCAAGTACATCCTGCACGTACACCCGCAAATCGGAGTCGTCAACCTTGAAGCCTGTGCCATAGGCCGGAAACCATAAATAAACCTGCAAGCCCTAGGAAGATGAAATGTGCCTTGCTGCCCAAGTGGGCACGAAAAAAACACTACCGACGTCTTGATGACATCGTGATCTCCTCTCAACCTCCCGAAACAAACTCTCCACAGCCCTAGCTCCTCGATCTTGCACTCCAACATACATCCAAACCGACCCTAAGACCACCAAGGCCCTGACACCCCCGTGCCCCCGCCCCCCCCAAACAACTCTATACCCCAACCCTTAAGCCACCAAAACTCGCAAATGACAAAGTCCCGAACAGTAAAGTACCCAACAACAACTGGGCCATCTATGTACAAACACCCCTAAAGCCCAAACCCAAAAACACGGCACTTCTCTCAGCCGAAGCGACGACCGCCGGGATCGAGCTCCACGCGTCGGAGGCGCTGCCCGGCCGTGGTGACATAGGCTACGCCACCGACCTGTTGTTTGCTTGTTTTTTGAGGGGGCTTTGGGGTTTTGGGTTGCTAGGCTTGAGGGTTTGGGCTCAGGGTTCAGGTTGTGCGGGATTTAGGGTCGAGGGGTCTTACCTGGCTTGAAGGATCGTGGGCAAATGGATACGGGTGTCAGGTTCAGGCACGATGAGGTTTCAGCGTGCTGCTTGCAGGATCATGGAACTTAGCATGCCGCTATTGGGAGTTGAAGCTATGCGAATCGTGGCTACTCTAACTATCATTGGTGGTATCATCACTTTATGAAGCGAGAGACAAGGCAACGACAGCAGGCCCAGCCCTTACTCTTCAACTTCGTAAATCAGGGTTTAACAGTTCAACTCGTGATAGCTAAAAAATTGATGAAATGCACTTTAGACCCCAAGCAACCCCTAAATACTAAACCCCCTCAAACCTCAGAAAAAAAAACACCAAGCCCGACCAAAAAGGCAAGAAACCCATATAAAGGCCCTATAGAGGGCTTGTAGAAACCAAACAGAACTCCCATACCCTCCCTCACAAGAAACCCATCAGAACTTTCATAATAACACTAACGATACAGACCAATGATACCGATAATACATACTTGACAATACCTATGGCCTACGATACTGCCCTGAACCCTAAACCCCTCAACTGTGATACTAATTACCCTAAACCCCTAGACTGTGATACTAACTACCCTAAACCTCTAAACCCCTAGACTGTGATACTAATTACCCTAAACTCCAAAACCCCTAAACTGTGATACTAAATACCCTAAACCCAAAACCCTGATGTTAATCACCCCTAAACCCTAAACCCTAAACCCTAAACCCTAAACATAATCCAAGGTGCGACTTCCAGGCCCCTGGGCCCCTGGAAGGACGCCTGCACGGCGGGGCCGTCGTCGCCTCCAATGGTCCAAGGCCAACTCTGAGTCTTGGGGGTTTAGGGTTTAGGGTTTAGGGTTTAGGGTTGAGGATCTTTCCGGTATCCTTGTTGGGATTTAGGGGATCCGTCAAGGGCTGTAGGTTGATGGTTTAGGGGTCAGGATCTCTGGGTTAGGGATCCATTTTGCAAGGGTTGGTGTTTCTTGCAGGGGTCCCTTACTTTCCTCAAGGGTTCTATTCGGTTTAAAGACAGACGTTCACGGCACACTGCACAAACTTCTTGCCCAACCACGCATCCAGCAAGTATGGCCGACCAGGTCACGCGTGGGCTTTGGACTTTCAGTGCTCCGTCCGAATCTTTCACAACCCTAAATCCTAAAACCTACACGGCTGACAGTTTTAAGGCCTTTTGGAAGACGAACAAAAAATGAGTCGCATCACAGGCTCAGGAACAAAGGCTTACGGCTTAAGGACTGACGCTTGAGAATTGTGTTTTAAGGTTTAGTTTAGGGTTTCGAACAGCTTCGTGGTGCTCTCTCAGGAACGAAGGTCTCGGGACTCGGGCCCTCAGAGTCGGGGGTGTAGGGCTTTAGGGTGTAGGGTTTAGGGTTTGGGATTTAGGGTTTTAGGGTTTTAGGGTTTTAGGGTTTTAGGGTTTCAGGGTTGGCTTCAGGTGTTGCCGAGGTTTCAGGGAGGTTCGTCGGTTAGTGCTTTAGGGTTTGACGGGCTCGGAGCTTTGCGTTCCAAAGGGTTTCCCCCGCTTTAGTTCAGTTTCAAGGGTTCTTGCAAGGCCCTCAAGACAACAAAACCATAAACCCTACACCCGAAAAACCCTACACCCCCTAAACCCTATACCCTAAGCCCTAAACCCTAAGCCCTAATGCTGAAGAAGGGCAGATTGCGGCCTGCATCGAGGCCAACTCCTTCTGTGCCCGCAACGATGTCTACGCTGCCTGTGTCCAACCTCGCTCGCTGACCCAGGCTCGGTTTAGGGTTTAGGGTTCAGGGTCTAGGGTTTAGGGTGGTCTAGGGTTTAGGGTTTAGGGTTTAGGGTCACTAACCACGGGGCCTTCAGCTTCGTACGGGCTGGTAGTGCTGGCGGCGTTCTACCCTGTATTCTATACATGTCTATATACATATATACTATATACTGTACATTACGTTAATATAGTATTTACTTCTACTAGTATTATTCATACTAGTCGTTCATAGGGTTTTGAACTTCTTGCACGGGAAGTTGAGGGAGTCTCTGGGCTTTCAATACATCCCATAGAAGGAAAAAACTGATGATTCGCGGGCTCATCCGAGGAGGATACATGCTCAAGGGATATGCGGGGCTTGTAATCTTGAGTCTCACCTGTTCATGGCTTTCTAGGGTTTATAGAGCTCGGTTTCGGGATACTGATTGAGCTGTAAGGGCTTGCACTAGGGTGATCAGCTGCACAGCTTCAGTTTCACCTGCTTACACATTGTAGATGCTGTCTTATGCCAAAGGTTCTCAACCTTACACCCAATGCCCTGACCACGAAACTGAGACCGCGTTGCCAATCCCGAGGGGAGCATCGGGTAACTGGAATGTTGTGAGATTTGGAACTATACTCAACAAAATACAACACGGGCCCCAAAAACACCTACCAGCCCCTGGTATAAACTCTACACCCTACAAGGATGAGGTGTTCGACTATCCGAAAAGCTACGTGCGATTCACTCGACAACCACTTGGCAGGCTTAGAAGCATCAGACAAAAAAACCTCCACGACGTTAGGACCGAAAGCTTAAGCACAACAGCTCTGAAGCTCTGGAACCCTAAAGTCCTAAAGTGCCGAACCCTGCAGCCCTAAACCCACATCTGTAAAACCCTCAAGCCCTGGACCTGGACCCCGAACGCACCCAGAAAGCCCAACTTAACCCTAAGATCCCCAAGGATAACCCAAAGCCACGGCCCAGTGACACATCCACTGCGCGGAGCACATGCCCTCGATGGTCAGCGACAAGCAGTCGCTCCTATCCGTCGTGGCCCGCTTGGAACTACAGGAGGGCTGATTTCCTAAACCCGAAAGCTCCGATTGAATCCTGATCCTGCTCAGAGTGCTGGAGATCACTGGGACTTCGCACGTCGGTTCCAAGTAGCCGTGAACTCTATGAACTCTACGCAAACTAAAGCCCTAAAGTCGTAAGCCCCTGTAATCCAGAAGCACAAAGCCCCCACAGCGTAACCAAGAGCGTGGCCCTAAACTGTAGTCATCCGAAAAAAGCCATAGACCTCAAAGCACCAATGCCCCCCCTGAACTCTAGTCCCACAACCAGCCCATAAGATTTGAAACCCCAAGCCCATCCTAGACTCGAGACCCTTTAGCACTAGAAGTTATTCTAAGTCTTTCTCAAGCCCAGAGAGCAAAACACTTAGCAGCAGCTGTAGACCCTAAACCCTGACCTCCCAAGAAAACTAGCACTCAACTCTCAAGCCCCGAACTTTGAACTTCAAAACCAGAAGCGCCTCCTTCAAACCTATAAGAGCCTGCATCCACCCGTAGAGCCTTTGGAGACCTGTTTTTTGTTGGTACCCCTCTCTGGTTAATCTGTCAGCTTCGCAATGCAATGTTCCGAGTGAACCAACCTGAATCCCAAAACCACAGAACCAAAAAAAAAATATAAATAAATAAATCCTAAACCCTGAAACCCTAAACTCCAAACGGTAAACCCATGAGTAAGCTAAATCCTAAAGCCCTTAAATTCAAAACTCGAAAAGTCGAAATTCTGGACCCCAAGAACCCTAGACCCTAAACCCTAAAGCCCTGAATCTGCAGCCGCCGTAGCCCTGAAACATTGTCACTAAACCCGTGGCCCTAACACCCCTCGACCGAGGCCTGCGTGCTGCTCCATGCAATGCCGAGGGGGAGCCCGATTACGTCCTGGATGACAGAAGGTTTCTCTTAAGGAAGATAAGGCTTAGTTAGGGCTTATAAAGCTTCGGGTAATCAGGTTCCTTGATGACTGGGGTTTGGGGATAAGGGTTCAGGGATTAGGGTTTAGGGGATAGGGTTTAGGGATTAGGGTTCAGGGATTAGGGTCTAGCAGCTCCGGATCGAGCAGTTTTATAGTAGAGTTGTATTCACGCTTTCGATATAACACCCACCCTCCCTAAGAATCTCATAACATTAAAAAATACAAAGTTCCTCTCATCATCATTCAGCGAAGTTCTACCTACAACTTGGCTTCACACACACACATTTATTTTACAAGCCAACCCACAGCCTGGAACCCTAAATCCTAAAGCCAGCCCGAAAACTAGCCACAGCCTGGAGCCCTAAATCCTAAAGCCAGCCCACCAAAAGCCTTGAGCCTTAAATCCTAAAGCCAGCGTCTGTAGCCCTAAATCCTAAAGCAAACCCAGGAGCCTGGAGCCTTAAATCCTAAAGCCAGCCCACAGCCTGGAGCCCTAAATCCTAAAGCCGAGCTACAACCCGAATTTTGCCTTAAACGACAAATGTGATGAGGTCTGAGCCCTAAATCCTGAAGCCAGCCCTTAAATCCTAAATCCTAGAAACTGCAAATCAAGCCGGATTTTGCCACGTTAAATTCTCTTCGTGCAATGCGTGTTTTAGATTGGGCTAGTGGCCGATCTCGGGTTTGGGGGGACCCTTTCCCCAGATGTGGCCGCCACTAAAATTAGAATTTTGCCTCAAATTTTGCTTCAAAATTTGCCTTAAAACCACGTGACAGTGGTAGTTACAATATCAAGAGCGGACAGGCTGTTGCCGAAGCATCCCCCACACCCCAAAATCTACTAGTGCAATCAGACAGCAATCAACCCATGAGAGTTAGAATGGAAAGCCATCCCCAAACTTCAATCCATGCGTAACGTAAAACATCCAGAGTCCAGCCGCGCACGCGAACATCAATTTCCAACCGGTATGAGAAGGCTTGACGAGCCCTAGAAATCTACCCGCGCATCAAAGCAGCATTTGGAATCCCTTTGGTGACTTTGATGTTGGTGCAGGTCTACGGCAGACTTGCACTCATTGAAGTCCCCTGTCAGGCCCCATGTGGCATGTCAGGTGTCCTTCCAAGGCTTTCTGCCCCACAAATGTTTCGGATGAGAGTGTAATACCTTTCCTGCGCGTGTTTCAATTAAACGATGCCGTCGCGCCATGAACAAATCATCCTGCTGCTGCGACAGTTTGTTATGTTGGCAGTGAAAGATAGAATTTCCTCCCCACCCCCAACCCCCCGCCGTGAAAGATAAGAAACTCCATCGTTCGCCCCCCTCTTTGCCCCCAACCAAAAGCGCCGTGAAAGAGTGGATTTCATGTTTCGCTCCCGTCCCCGCGTGCATCTGCCACCCTCCTCCCGAACCCGCTGCCGTGAAAGATCAGATTTCATCTTTCGCCCCCCTCCCCGCCCGCATCATTTCGCAGCTCCCCGCCGTGAAAGACGAAATTCCATCTTTCCATCCCCGCCCACGCATGCGGACAGGCAGGCAGGCAGGCAGGCATCTACGCACCCGCGCGCACATCTGCTGTGGCTCAGCCACGCAGCCAGGCATCACATAATTTGAGAAGCGAACCTCTGCTGTGGCTCAGCCGCGCAAGCACTTTCAGAAAAGTGCATCTGCTGTGGCTCAGCCGCGCAGGAACAAGGATCAACTGCGGTGGTTCAGCCGCACAGCAACGCGGGGCAGAGGAACAACTGTCAATCCCGTGCCGTGAAAATTTAATCGCGCTCGTGCGGGCCCTGGCTGGACCTCATACAGTTCGTCGTTTTCGGCAATTTTCAAGGCCAATTTCGGGTTCTAGCCTTCGGCCTGCTCGCGCGCGCACGGGCCCTGCTGGACCTCATTTCGTCGTTTTAGGCCAATTTTCAAGCACATTTGTAAGGCAAATTTCGGGTTCTAGCCTTCGGCCTGCCTCGCGCGCGCGGGGGCGCTGCTGGCTCATACAGGTAGCACAAGCGGGAATGCTTCCGAGAGTGTAGAAACAAAAACCGTCGAACCTCTGCCGTTTCGGGCATGCGAGATCTTGCGAGAACTTTGCAAACATCGGGGCGTCTTTAGCTCTTTCGAGCTCCAGCTCGGGTTTGGAGCTTGGACTCAATTATGATGCAAGATCTGAACCTGCGGCACTCGTGCGACCGAAAACCACAGCCAGCAGTGCCATGGTGAAACCCGAAGAAATCCTAACACCGTAGGCGCTAAACGGTTATGAACACACGAAAGGGAGGCCTCCAAATCCAAAGTGTGAAGAAAGGACTTTTATCAAGCTCCGGGCATGTGGACCACCACAAGCACGTGCATCTGCAGTGCTTCGAGAAAGGGTGACCATTTCACCGAACTGAACCGCCCTCAATCGACACCAGCCTTCATTCATAAGTGCTGAATGATGCGATTTCATTCTGCGGCTCCGCGTCAGAGAGGCACAAGACTTACATGCTACATTACCGATCGGGCTCCGTATGATCTGTCTCTTAGCCGTTGAGTATTAAATCAGATCAGCCGTTTATCTGTCCGTGCATGCATTCTGCCCCTCAAAAGTGGGGACAGGAGGCGTGTCATCTGCCGACGGGAGATCCTGTGCACAGTGCCAAAAGCTTTTCCCTACTGCAACAACCCTCATCCGAGTCCACGGCCATAGCCTTTGCCCTTGGAATGCACCAGCAGCATCGGGCACATTCGGCTTTCCGTGCTTTGGCTCAGGCTGGGACCTTGGCTTTGCCGCAGGGAGCTCGCTGGTCTCGGTACCTTCAGTGAAGTTTCGAGACGGCCACCACGATGCGAGGTGCACCCTATCATAGGGTTTGGGGGGCTCCTTATTATAACTATAGAAAAATAGACCCCCAAACCCCATTCTCATGATTAAGGCCCTATATTAAGGCAAGGGGCTACTGCAGAGTTTGGGGTTTAGGGTTTGGGGTTTTGAGGCTGCAATATATCGAAAGCCTGAATACTTGCCAAAGTTGTTCCTTAGCATGGTTGTAATATAATATAGCTCAAGACCCTATGCTATTTATCAAGGCCCCCACATTAGAGTTTGGGGGTTTAGGGCAGCTTGATGCAACAGGGCTCACACCAGACCCAAGGTGTGTAGGGGGACTACGCTAAAAAGTCTTCCTCATGGCTCTTTATACCAAGTTCAACATTCGGGTCTAGCTCTCTCAATCAGGGTCCCTTTTTGCATCCCCAAAAT